AAAATAATAGTATTATTGCCATATTAAATGTATAGAATGCAATACGTAATCTGCAACAGAAAAAAAATTTTATCAATCATATTTTATCAATAATAGTAAGTTTAACAAAATTTAAAATCAAATATACTTTTGATATTTTCTTTTTGCCTCATCTACTGTATCCATTGGATCATTTAATACGTAATAACGAAGACCTCTCACTCCTTGATAAAAGTATTCATTCCAATCTAGCATTTCTACATTGAAGCAAAAAATTTTTCGATCTGTAGAATTCATTTTTTGCCAAAGTTTTATAACATTTTTATTTTGAAATTTCCAATCATTTATTGAAAAATAATATATTACATTGCTAAATTTATGTATTTTTTTGTATGCATTTAATAATCTGAAAATATATATTTAACTATTATTATTAATTAATACACAATTATAGTATAATATAATATTTACTATTAAAGTTTATATTTTTTATACGAGATACATACATAGGTTTCCGACCAATGAGATAAATTACTATGTCAACAATAAGTGCTGGTATTGTATGAAAAAAGAAAGTATAAATTTTATGCATAAATAAATATCTGTTCAATGTAAGACTATAATACGAAATAGATTTTGCACTAGGTATTTCCATTCCATAAATTTCATTTATTTTCATTAATTCACCCCATGAAGTTCGATTTTGACAAGAAGATACACAATTATAAATTGGTATTCTTTCTTCATCAGAAAGATTAAAAACTTGATCTGATTTTATTGCAAGTTTTCTGTGAAATTAAATAATTATCACTTATATTAAAGTTTATACTTTTATTACATTTCATATAATTCTTTATTAATTCAAATGTCAATCAATTTGATTCATATTTATAATTTTTTTTAATTTAATTGATAGATTATTAATTTTTTTTATTTTATGAAATAATATTATTTGATAATTAAAATCATTTAGTTTTATAATTAATAAGAAATTATAATTAAAAGTTTACCTATTAACTGTATCCCAAGCAGAACAAATAATATTAGAAATAACGTAATCTGCTGGTATAATTTCAGCCACATTCTCTGATTTACAAGGTAATGTATGTAACAAACCTAGTGCACTTCCTATTATTACACCTGTAGCTCCATATATATTGTTTATCCATCCAGAAAGTGGCTCATTAAAAGTTGATGTAACAATACTAGGCCGTACAATACAAATTGGAAGATTACCACTATATTTCAATATCATATTTTCTCCTAATGCCTTAGAATAAACATATGTATTTGGCCATTTATCAAGTAATCTATAAAAAGTAAAAAAAAAATATGAAGTTTTTTATAATTATTTTTATATATAAAAAAATAAAAATTTTTAATATAATTAGAACAATATATACATGGGTGTAATTTGTTCAAGTTTTTTATCATCAAATATATTTAATAGTTCTAAGGCTTTATCTGCATCTATAGTATTTTTATAGTGTTTCTCATCAATAATATTTTCTGTACAAGGTGCAAATGCAGTAGATATATGCACGAAAACCTATAAATAGAATATTTTTTCAACTATTATTTATACACAATAATATAGATATCTTAAATAATAAAAAATATTGAATATACTTTGAAATTTGGAAGTTTTTGTGCAAATTTCAATAAAAATTTTGTACTTTTAACATTAATATTTATTGCAGTACGAAGTTTTTCTTCGAATCGGACAGTTGCAGCCACATGAAAAATAATGTTTACATTCATTAAAACATTTTTATCTTCCGATGACAATCCATAATCATCTTTTGTTGCATCACCTTCCAACATTATGATTTTTTCCAAAAAATTTTTTTGCTTATGTCTTAACTTGTCATATATCTAATAAAAATAATTTATAATTTATTGTCATTTAATTATTGTCATCTAGTCAAAGTTCTTATTTTACTTACTACTCCTTCAAAAGTTTTATGAAATCGTTCCAAAGCAGTTTTCCCTTTTTTCGATCTTACTATTATGTATATTTTTGCAATATCCGGACAACTTCTATAATATAATATAAATATAATATAAATATTATAAATATATTTAGAATAACTTATTGTGAGATATAATAGTTTATTACATGAAACAATTTTATTTACATAATAATATATAAATCATTAAATTATAGCATTTATTGCAACAATGTAATAAGTATTATAAATATTACTAGAAAAATAAAAAATTAATTTTATATAATTAAGTGTATTTATAATTTACATATATGTATATATGTATGATATTAAATAATTTATTATATATAAAATAAAATATTCTATTTGTATTTTACAATTTTTTCTCATTTTAATCTATTTTAATTCATCTTTTTAGCATATTTCTAAAAGTTGAATTCAAAATAATATGAAATAATTGAATTCAAAAATTGCTTGATTATTTTTATACATTATATTGTGTTATAATACATATATATATACATGTGTGTGTGTGTGTGTGTGTGTGTGTATTTAAATGTAATATTAATTATTAAACATTAAAATCTTTACATCTTTGAATCAATATGAATCAATTTGAAACATTTCTAAATAATTATTTAGAAATTGATAATACTTTATAAGATATAATTTTTAAAATTATCCAAATATAAATTAAGCAATGTAAATGATTAATTTTATATTTTTACTTTTATATTTTTGATTATTTTAAATAAATAATAATAATTAAATATATTAATAAATTTAAAAATTATTATTAATACTTTCATTTAAATATTAAAAAATTTAGATATTTAAAAAATTATTTAATTATTAAATTTAATATTACATAATTACAATACCTGAGTAATTTTTCAATGAGTAAACTTCCCAGAAATCCTGTTCCTCCTGTTATCAAAATATTAGTGTGAGCAAAAAATGTAGTTATTTCACTTTTTTCATTTTTCGTTGGTTCAGTAAAATCTATAATATCTTTTATATATTCGTTGCTATTTAAAGACATCTTGATGATTTATCTGTTAAAATTCATGTAATATATAATAATATATATAATAATTGAATATAATAATTATTCGAGAAAATTAAATAAAATCTTAAATAAATAATATATTGGATATTGGATACAAAAAATTATAAAACAATGAATATTTATCGAAAACAAATATTTTATTGAATGTTAATAGCGAATATAAAATATAATATAAATATCTATAAAATAATATATCAATAATTATATTATTTATTTAGTTTTATTAAATATATTTTTTTATTTTTATTATTTTTATTATAAAATAATAAGTGAACAATGAACAATAATAAAAATATATATATAAAATTTTAAATAATTATGGTTTTCAAAACAAAAAGTATTACTACTATTTTTCAATTTATATATTATATTTATATAAATAATATATTATTTTTTAATTAATTTTAGGCAAAATAATCAAATATTATTTGAATTATAATTTTGCTATTTGAATCCACATCCACGTTAATTTTATCAATTTTAATAATAAAAAAGATATCAATTTTAATATAAAAAAATATAATATTATTGTAATATACTTACGATAAATATTATAATACTTTAACTAAATATGAACGAGGTGAATTCGATGACATATGAATTTCAACTGCATATTCTAACTCTCTTGAGTGACTTTAAACATATAAAGATATACATTTTGTTAAATGACACATATATAAAAGAAATGATTTGATAATGATATGCAAATGAAAAAAAAATCACTCAACTTTTAACATTACAATAGCTGAATAAAAATTATATATACAATCATGATGTCATATGATTATATCGAAAGAATAATAACAAAAAATATAATTTGATATTATTAAATAATATCTTTCGTAATTAATATTCAAGAGAAGATAAATTTTCTCTGAAGTTAATAAAAAAATTTAAAAGATTTATATTTTTTTATTAAAAAAGCAAACATAAATTGAAAATTGATATTTTGTTAATTTTTATTTTTTTTTTTATATAAGATTAATTTTTCCATAAATTTGATAAATTTTAATAATAATATTATTTTTATATCATTTTCTTTATATATCTTATATTTCTTATTAATTTCTTATAATATTAAGTAAAGATAATTTTATTATTTTCTTTTAATCAAATAATTTTTCTTAATATAAGAATATTTATAGAAATAATATAAGATAATTATATTAACTATAACAACTATAAAATTTAACTATAACAACTATACTAACTAAAAATTTAGTGACTTTTCAAAAACTAAGCGATCATTATAATATGCATTCTTAAATACAACATTCGTAATACCGGATGTACCTTTGAACTGATCTTACTTAATGAAGTTGAATTGTTTACTGATTTGAATTCGATTGAGTAATATTTAAATAAAGTTATAATATTATTTTTAAAATAAAAAATAAAATTTCTACATACAATTCAAATTATATTTATTAGATTTATTTATTTTTACTAATACATGCTTTATAGAGAATGCAATATATACATTATCGCGAATACTATTTTATTATCAACAAATGAAATATATATATATATATATATTTATATTATATATATATATAAGATACACTATATATAAATATTACAGAAAATATATTTATCATACGTAATAAAATATTACTTACAAATTAATTATGCAAAAAAATTGTAAAACAATATAATAATAAATCAAATATTAATCATTATTTTGCGTATATAATATTTTGTCATTCGTTGTACTTGATACTTAAAATATTTCTATTTTATGATTTTAATATTTTTACAATTTCTATTTCGAACCAAATTAAAAAAATATTTGCAGAAATATAAGTTAAAAATTATAATATATTTTGTAATTTTTTCCATATAAAGAATAAATAAAAACAAATACGTATATAATTGTATACAATTAAATTTTTTTTATCATTTTTGTAATCATTTTTAACGCGCAGCGTTATAATTTTATTTTATACATACTTAATTTATCGACTTGATTTTCAATTATTTGATAAATGTACAATTTAGGATATAATATATAATTTCAATTCTAATATTAAATTAAATTTTAATTTCAAATAAATTTGTAAAATGTATATATTAAACAAATATAAATAATATATATTATTTCAAAATAAAATATGTTTAATCATCTAACAGAACACTCAAAGGATCCTCTCTAATTTTTTCAGCTGTTTTTTTCAAATCTCTTGTTATTGTTTTTTTAACAGTTGATCGGATCTCCACTGATTTAATCGATTCGCCCGTAAGTTTTTTACCGAATATATTATCATCGTCGTCATCATCATCAGAAAGAAATAGAGATTTTGATGTGCCAGCAATTTTCTTCGAAACTGATATTTTAGTTAAAATATCGTCTTCTCCACTTGACTGATCAGCAAAAATGTCCGTAATATGTGAAGTCTTCACAGGTTCGGTAATGCTTGTATATATATCATTTTTCTTTGATTGCTCTTGAATACTTTCAGAATCTAATTTCTGTGTTTGGTCAAGTGGCTCAGAAAATAAATTTGTATCAGTGTTATCATCATCAAATATATTTATTTTCTTTTCAGACTGTTCCACAGAATGTTTTCTTTCAGATTCAGTATCTATCGATTTCTTTATAACAGAACCAAATAAGGTATTATCTTCATCTTCTTCATCGAACAAATTAATTTTCGTATCCTTTAAAGTCTTTTTTACAGATTTAGTTAAAGTTATCGAAAACAGATCATTTTCTGTATCATCGGTAAATAAACCCAAGATTGGTTTTTTTGCAGTTTGTTCTTCAATTAATTTTTTTGTGCCACTAGAGAACAAACTATCATCTTCAGAAAATAATAAATTTTTTCCCTTTTCGGGAGATGGTGTTTTTGTGACGAAAGCAAATAACTGACTGGGATCTTTCAGCGGATCGTGACTATCATCTCGCAATGGATCAATCATTTCTTTTGATTCATCTTCAACTTTAGCATTCTCTGATTTGGATTCCTTTTTATTTAAGTGTGAAATTATGGAATTTATATTAGAAGTGGTACCAGATGTAAATAATGTACTACTTTGTTCCATCTCTTCTACAGTTTTTCTTGTTTCTGTCTCTACATCATCGATTTGTTTAATATGTGTATCTTTCAATACTTTGAAGATAACAGGTGGCTTTTTAGAAACAACTTTTTCAACCGGAGAGAGAATAGGTGCTCTACCAAATAGCATATCTTCTTTCTGTGGGTCTTCTGGTAAATCTGGTGGCACATCAAATAAGTCTTCTTCATCTGTAGATGGAGATAATAAAGTATTTTTGTTAGCACTCATTGAGCTTTCCTTACTTATGCTACCAAGTTCAGACTTATCATCCGCAGATAAGAAAATGTTACTTTCAGGGGTTCGATAAAAATTATCATTATTTGAATGATCAAAAATGGTAGTAGTAGGATGTGCGACACTAATATTTGTAACTGTAGAAATCTCTTTATTGAAGGTACTTGGCGATTGATTAATCTGGCTCTCATCTTGTGAATTGCTTTCAAGAGCATCTATAGTATCAAAATCGATTCCGCTTTGCCTGATGGCGGATTTTCGTGCATGTCTACTTTGTGGTCGGCGTTTCGCTTGTATTCTAACTCGTGTCTGAAAAATCATAAAAAATTGAAAATAATTAATAGAATTGTTTTTTTTTTTCAAAACATGTATTATATTTTGATAATAATATTTTACCTTCGAAGCAGTAGTAGATAATGTTTCTACTTGTACTGGCTCATCAAAACTGATCGCATTTTCTACATTACTTTCATCTGAAATTGTTGATTGCTGAGATTGCTTCTGAGTAGTAATACTATCCTCTGCAAAATTGATCAATTTAATCAAATTAATTATTAAATGCAAAATATAAAAAAATTGAATATATATATATATATTACCTGATACACTTAATGGCGAATTATGACCTTGTGTACTAATACATCCGCCATCATCACTATCTCTATCTCCTGCATTATCTTCTTCATCCGTTTTTTCTTTGCTTTTTCGCCATACTGGTGGTGTATCCATGGGTGAAATTATTTTCAAATCCCCCATTTTTCCCATTAAGTTTTTTATTTTACCAGAAACCATTCGTTTTGTTTGATTATTTTTATCAGGCGATGATGATGTGGCAGTTGTATGTATATCTAAAGATTTTGGAGGATTCATTTTTAATTCATTTTCAATATTTTGTATAGATTCGCTTTCCTGAGAATTACTAATTGGATGTAGATCTTTTTTTATATCCTTGGGCATGGTAACAGAAACATTTGATTCTTCAGATTTTACAAAGGTATCAGAATTATTTGATACTTTAATATCCTTAGCAGAATCTTCTTTAATATTTTTTGTTATTTCCAAAGTTTTATGTTCATCCTCTTTTGTTTTTTCTGTTATTACATTTTTAGTACTGAACAAATCATCATAGTCATCATCCTCAAAAATCAACCCATGTGATCCAATAGTAGTAGAAAACAATCCATTGCTCGAAAGAATATTACTACTCTTATTTTCACTTTTTTCAACTTTCTGATCCACGATATCTATTCCGGACGCAGCCATTTCTGGTGGTTCTTTATCATTCTCTTTCTTTTTATCAATCGGTTTTTTTATAGAAAACAAATCATTTTCATAATCGTCATTAAAAATATCAGATTTATTTATAATTTCACTTTTAATAGATTTCACACTTTTAATTGAGAATAAATCGTTATCTTCGATATCATTATCAAACAAGCTGATTTCCTTCGATTTAGCAACATTCTGACTTTTTTCCAACCCGTTACTTTTCGTTATTGTATTTCGAATACTATTTGTGAACAAATCATCATTGGGAATGTCCAAAAACTTTTTATTAGAAGCATTATTTTCCTCTTTGGTTATCGGTTTTGCTATTATACCAAATATATCAACATCTGGCGAATCCTTATTATCGAATATGTTGATTTCTTCGTCAAAAAGACCTCTTCGTTGCGTGGACTTGATCTTGTCGGAATACTGAGATGTAGTTAATAAGTCACTGCTTCTTTGTGACCTTGAACCCGAACTGGTTGTCGAAAATAATTCATCACCAGAATCGGAATCGTCAAATAATGAAGGTATTTTCGATTTCGGCAGTTTTGAATCTGCTTTTGGTAGCGGAGGTGGACCAAACAAATCCTCATTTTCGAACACATCGTCCTGTCGTATAGATGATATATCCTCGATAGACTCCACCTGAGGTGGATTATTCGTCGTGTTTGAGATCGAAGTTACAGGATTATGTGTACGTGCAGTAAAGAGACTATCACTAGTAATTCGTTCCCGATAAATTTCTTCTGACTTTAAACGCGTTGATGACATCCGAGGCTCGATACTGTAACAAAGTCGTAAAAATTAGAATAAGAATATGAAATACCATATTAAAACAAAATATGTTAGTGAATTTCTTTCCATTCTTTTTTATTTTTTTCTTTGTTTGCTTTGATTTTAAAAATGGTTTGCTTTCTATTTCTCATTTAGTACAATCATTTTTTTTTTCTGTTAAGAAACACAGTATATACCGAAAATAAAAGTTTCGTTCTTAAAAATATATTTTTAAATTATGAAAGAAAAGAAAGATAAAAAAAATTTGTTTCATGTTAATACAATATGTTAATAAAATATACATATAAAATATACATGAATACATGATTGCAATGAATAAGGAAATATTTAAATAAAATTTTACAATATATAATAAAATTATTAATAACTTGCATCACAAAACAAACATGTACAGTAACTCTCACTTAATGTGATAATTTATATGATATATGATTCAATTTCTATTGACTATATAATAAGAGAAAATAATATGAAAAAATAATAAGAGAAAATATTCCATGAACATAAACATTCCATAAACATGCAAAATTTAATTCTAAAAATCAATTTTCAAGAAAATTTAAAAATTTCTATAAATTAAATTTAATATATTTTTATGAATAGAAAATTGCAAACAAATGAATAGATTTTTCAATAAACAATTATAAATGATTTGATTTTAAATTATTTAAAAATTATTTTTTATATAATGATTTAAAAAAATATTAATGATTTAAAATATATAAATTATATCATATGTACATAAAATTACTCATTATTCTCTATTTTTTTAAAAAATACAAATTGTCTAATATTTTAATAACAAAACTGTCTAATATTTTAGTAACAAAAAAATAAAAATATATAAATATTTAAATATACTCAAATAACAATATTATATAGAAATTATTTATACAAATTGGAAAACTGTTATTTATAGAGTAATGATAGAAATATTAAAAATAATATTAAGTATAAATAATAGATTATCATCGGCGATATATTACTTACTATATATATATATATTACTTACTTGATTATAATTGAAAATAAATATAATTAAAGAAAATGTTGTATGCAGAATATATGCATATAACATATTAGTTAGAAATGAGATACAAGCAAACTAAAGGAGCTTGCCTTGAGCTCGCGCATGTACTTGATATAATCATTGCAATGTAATGAGGGATGACTAATGTTTGGATCATCAATTCAATGATACATAACATACATATTCGTTTTTTATGCATACAAAAATAAAAAGAGAAAGATAATATAAATTTTGTAAAATAAAATTTATCAAATATGACTAAATAAAATAGTAATATTAATTTTTAATAAGTAATATTATAATTCATAATCTATATCTGATTTATTTTTATTATTGTATACATGATATATATGATTTATGTGATGATTTATTAATTTACTTAATCTTACCTAATATATAATCTTATGTAATAGTAGTAATAAGATTAATACTTACTCAATGCTTGAACCACCTGTATTATTAATACTTGGTGGATAAATCGATATTCCGCTACTATAGTTACTTTCATTAAACATGGCTGAATTTTCTATGTTATTCACAATAAATTCATTAATATTATCGTTCGAAACAATATTCCGTGAATGATTATGTACTGATTCGTTGTTAATATTATTTTCATAATTTGCTGATGTATTACTTCCAGAAGATCCGGATGAGTGATTTCGCAATATTCTATTTGATAACTTATTCTCAACATTTGAAGTTAAACTACTTCCAGATATTGATATTCCTTCTATTGATTTCTAAAATATCGTACAAAATATTAATTTTATAATTTCATTAAAAAATTTATAAATAAAATACATATTATTAATGATAATTATTTTGTGACCTTACTTTTTTATTTGGCTCTTGGTTTTTAGATGGTCCAAAAAGATCAACAATATCTTCATCATCGCTAAATAAATTATTAGTATTTACGGCAGTTTCAGGTGTACTTGTAGCCACGTTACTAATTACTCTTGGTGCAACAGTCTCTAAACATTTTTTTTGCATATTTTCTGTATTTAATTGATTATTATTATTATTAGAATATTTATTTTTTGTAATTATTTTTGTTATATTTTTCGGCGAGAAAATATCATCGGGTTCAGTATCAGCAAAAAGATCATCTATTGCAGATTTAGGTTTTGTCGCTAAAAATATAGATTTTTCTTAAACATCTTAAAGACAAAATATATAAATTGCAAAAAAAGAACTTACAAATAGTACTAATAGGAGGTGGTACATCAATGCTAGCAGGTATAATATTTTTGCATGATTTAATATATCTTTCTTTTGATAAATTTTCAATAGATTGATCATTTAAATATCCTTTGTTTCCACTAAATATAATTCTAGATTTATCATTTAAAATGTTCTCATCTTCCTCTGGTGTAAATAAATCATCTAATAAAGAAAATAGATAGATAAAGATAGATTAGATAAATTAGATTAAATAGGTAGATTAAATATCAATAAAAAAAATATAAATTAAATTTATACATTTACCTTTAAATCGATTTATTGATGCCTCATTTTTTTCATTTACAATACCTGGTTTTTGAGCCTGTCGAACTGTACCTAATCGTTTAGCTAATTCTTCTGCAAAATTTGGTGTTATATTGTTTGGTAATGATGTCTAAAATATAATATGAATAATTTATAACATTATAACATATACAATAACAAATCATTTATAAAAATGTATATTAAAAAAAAAAAATAAATAAAAAAAAAGTATAAAACCTTTGAAACATTATCATTAGGAGTAATTGATTCAGGAACAGAATCTATATTATTTTGACTAACTGCATCTATTTTTTCATTGCTTATATATGCTATATCATTTCTTTTACTATAATCTGATCCATTCAAAGAAGGTAATAATCCAACTATGTTAGTTTTTGGTATAGTATTCATACTAAAATCTTTAAATGTTGTTGTGGCATCATCTTCATTTTCTGATTCTTCTTCTTCTTCATCTATTTGTTCAGATTCACTACTACTACTACTTTCTAAACCAATTTTATTTGAATTTTTCCATTTTTCAGAACCAATAACATAAGGCAAAGCTCGATCTTGATATGGATCATTTGGCCCCAATACAACACTGTAATTAAATTATAATTTAAGTGTAACTTGAGAAATTATTTTAATAATGAAAATTACATAACATTTACCTTAATACTACTTTATTGTCTTCTTCTTCACTATCACTATCACTGTCAACAAATTCCATTTCCTTATATTTTTCATACATTATATTTAGGCCTTGTTTTACAGTTTCACTCACATTAGCTATAAGATCTGCATCTACAGAATCTTGATCTTTATATTGCTATAAAGTTTAGTAAAATAATGATTAAAAAGAATTATAATAAGTTAAATCTTAAAATATTTAACTACCTCAATTGATGTTTCTACTTGTTCTCCAATCTCTATATTATCTTCTTGTACACGACTCTCAATAAATTGAGTATTAGCTAAAGCTAAAGATGTATTGGTAACATTATCAATAAATATTGCTGTTTCATTTAGTTGAGTTGTTAATGAATCCAAAATTTCTTGTGTTTTATTTGCTCTTGATATTACATTCTAAAAATATCATTAATAAATGTAAATTTTTCATGTATAATTTTAAATTATAAAAAAATTATGTAACAAAAGAATAAAATTAATTCATACATCAGAAAATTGTTGAAGATGTTTAAGAAGTCCTGCATCACCTGCTAGACTCCATTCTCTTCTTTTTTTTCGCATTTCTTCTGTAGTCCATGGATGATCCCATGATTTATCCATTTCATTTGATATGTCCTAATATATTTTTATAAGTATAATAATATTTTTATTATATGTATTTAATACATATTTTATTAAATATTTATTAAATTTAACAAGGAAGAAAAATTTATACCATATTAATTTCTTTCCATGTGGAACAAATAACAGTAATCTTTATTATTGTTTATATTTTTTAACCTTGAAACTTGTTTTAAATTTTTTAACTGATAAATAATTATCAACATACCATCTAGTTTAATTTAATATAACTATTACTTTTCTTTATAAATACATTTACGAAGAATATATACGTTGCATTATATTTTATCAAACTTAGTGAGGGGGAAAAAAACACCCATTTAACAGTTGGAATTATCAAGTATCGAATACTGTCACATCTATGATTTAATTCTTGTTTTAAGAGAAAACTTTCAGGAATGTATGTAAGTTAAACCAAGCCTATGAGTTTTTTTTACTTGTTATTGTTAAAAGAATATTTATATATTAAATAAAACTCTACAAAAATATTTTATATAACAAAAAATTAAAAAATTTTTATGTAAATTTTTTTTTTAACATATAGTATTTATTTTTAAAGTTATAAATTATAATTTTATATTATCATTCAAAATAATATTTATATAATAATCTTTTGTTATTATATTTTTTTTTGTATCATATTATTTAAAAATTTTATATAAATATAACAAAATACATTAACATGTATTAAATTTTATGTAACAGAATAAATAGAAAGGGGTCTTTCTATTACGATATACAATACTGGTATATACAATGTTGCCAAACCGAACAGTATTTTGGTCCGCATTCAACATTCCGCTGTTCGACCTATAGAGAAACAGTACTGTGGATTGTTTGTCAATATCTTGGAGTTAGTTGATTTTTACCAACATTTATATGTAAAGCAATTGTTTTACAATGACACAAAAAATCAAAAAAATATCCTGATTATAAACGTATCAGAGTGTTTTGTGTATGTATAAAAAACATACTGATAAAATAATACTGACAAAAAGAACATCATATATGTAGTATAATGCTACTTTTATATGCAAGTGAGGAATTCCATCTGTTTCGTTAGAAAAAAGATTGTTTGAAATTTTTACATTATAAAAAATATTTAGACTTTTCATAATTAAGATTTTATTAATTATACATTATCATGGATATTTAATACAAATATCTGTTTTATAAGTGAAAAAGTAAAAATTTGTAATATAACAAAAAAAGACGGATAACCCTTATTATATAAAAAGTTCCATAAATTGGTACTTATCGGTAAGTAATTAAAAATATAACATTTTAGATTAATTTATAAAAAAATTTTTTTATAAATTTATAAAAAAAATTATAAATTAAATCGATTTAATTTTTTAAACAATATAATATACATATAATATACACGTACGCACTATGTTAATACTATAAAATTATTTATTATATGAAAAATAACAAATTCATAATATTTGTTAAACCTTAAAAGAAATCATTTGTTATATCATAATAAGAAATATAAATTTTGTTTGTTTTAGATACATTTTTAAAGATGTACCTCAGAATGTCACAACAAAGAGATATAGATGGTTTATATAATAAAAATGAATACATCCGACAATTGTGTATCTTGTTTAGTTGATGCACAGAATATTCTCTTAGGCAATTGTCTATTTTCTTTATTGCATATCTTTATTCTTGCTCTTTTGGAGCAATCTCATTGTCATAAAGTATCCAGTGTTCATAAAATCACTTTTAATGAGGCTGAAAGCACGTATAGGAAGGCAAACTCTCTTTTGAGAAGTTACAGTGTTCTACAACTGACTTTCATGAACAATGAACCATTCGGGAAGTGGAAAACGTCAGGCGAAGGTTTTGGAAGAAAACTATTGGGACTGCAGTGTCTGCACGTATAGAAATACCGCAGAAGCATTTAAGTGCCTCATGTGTGACGTCCGTAAAGGAACTTCTACGCGGAAACCCCGCATTAATCCCCAACTTGTAGCACAACAGGTTATATTGTAATATAATATTAATAATATATATATATAATTTTACTATAATCTTTCTATTTATCATAAATGCAATATATAATAAGATTATAATATATATTAAAAAATATAATTTTATTAATGTTACTTTATATGTAGGTTGCACAGCAACAATACGTACCACTTTTAAAACCAGGAAAAAAGGAAGGTGGAAGTGGAGGTAGTACAACTAGTAGTGGTAAAGAAAAAGATCGTAAATTGGACAAACCAAGACGTAAAAATAGGCATCCACCCCGTCTCAAAAATATAGATCGTAGTACAGCCCAGACCAATGAAGTGACAGTAAATAATGTTACTGTCGTTATTACAGAATATAAGCCCAAAGTGAAAAAAAGTTCAGATCAATCTGGTTTATCTAGCAGTGCTTCTTCTGAAAATGGAAGTCAGCATGATTCTAATCAAGACTCTAGAAGTCTGGATATAGGAACAGATGCTTAGCTCAGTGCTATATCACATATGTGTATGAATTAATCTAATTAATATATTATATAATGTATGTCACTCTTTATGGACTATGGTCCATTATGTAGACAAAAACAACCATTTGTCTATATGTTACAGGTTACATAACATTCAATGAGGTCAGATGTTTTATGCTATCAGTGGAATCATTGAATTATGTCTTCAATATAATCTAAGAAATATGTCATATAATGTTGCTACATACTGACATCAAAATTGTCTGTTTCAATGACAGTAATCTTGACATCTAAAAGCAACAACAAAAGTTAGTTATATTTAAACTTATTTATTTTGTAAATTTATAATCTAAATTGATATTTAATATCTAATTGAACATTTTAGATAATTTTATTTATGCAACTTTGGATATTACTTATTCTACTTAATATTATATATATTGACTGTAAAAATGCATTATATGCCTTAATATGGCAAATGGAATTTGATACATTCATTGTTGACATAACAATGTCCACGTGACTTTCATTGAATCTATAACACCACTGCCAGAAAGCATGTTGTAAGATTATTGTTAATTAGAATATTTTAACGAACTCATTTATGTATAATATGAGGTATTTAACTTGTTTATTTAATAATGACTATGACAGAGAATTAAAAAACTGGCATTGGTACGTATATACCTTGATCCCATTCCAAAATTATCTATAAATTTGATCTGTTCCAAGCTTTATATTTTAATAGCAATTAATTTCACTAATGCAAAAATCTTTAATTTAAATATATCTATACATAAAAAAATATACAATTAAATTACATAACATAGTACATAATATAAATTGAAATAGATATCATATGGTTCAATATTATATATTTTAGATAATATTTGAGTTTGTAACAAAGAATTTCATTAATTTTCATTGCTCACAATTTTCATTATGTTAAAACACAACAAATATAATTTTTATGTACTTCTTTATTGCCCACATTTTAATAGTTCTAGGATATATAGATCGAATATAATATTAATAGAAAATATTTGACCAATTTACTACGATATATTAATTTTTTTCCATAGTAAAATTATAAAAATTGAAATATTAACTATAAAAGACTATTTTTCTTTTGAATTTACAGCAGAGCATAAAAGCTACAAAGCTAGCTCATATTAGTAACTGCCCAATCACTTATAACTGTGATTTATAATTCTTTTTATATTTATTTTTACATATTTTATGTTACCAGGTAAGAAATAGCATTATCAAATTAACTCAGAAAAAATTTATTATGACTACAAGGACCATAAACAATTTGATTATTTCATGTATGAAATATTAACATGCTATAAAATCAATTCTTTTTCAATTCATGTAAAATATTTGTATGCTAGTTAGATTGAAATATAAAATGTAATTTGTCATTGAAGTTAATATTCTTTATTATAAACATGAAAGTAAGTGATACTTTTACAACCATTTATACATACAATTATTCAAGTACCAAAAAAAAATTACATAATTATGCAATATTAAAAAAATTTATAATATGAAATAATGAATTTTTAGTTTTTTAAAAACCACCAATTTTATAAAATTTGTAAAATAAATATCAAATTTTCGTTATAAATAGAAAGAAATTCTAATTTTTTATGTTCACAATTATATATTTAAAATATTTAAAATATTTTAATTTTAATATTTAGATTAAAAATGAAAAAGTTGGTAATATACTTTAAATTATATTATATTACATCAATATAATGTATTCTTAATCATTTTATTAAATAATCAATTTAATTAAATATATTTTATTATATTTAATATATATATATAATGTATAATTTGAAAATTTATATTTTCAAATATTGTTCATTGATTTAAAAACAAACAAATTTTAAATAATTTAATAATATTTCTTATATTTTTCTGATATTGATGCATATAAATCAAAAATTTGTATCAATTGTCTTAAATGTGTAACAAATATGTTAAAATATAATTGGATTTGTGTGCTGTAAATTATCAGAACAAAATTACTATGTTGTACAAATGTCAAATTGTAAAACTTTCGAAAAATACTGTTGAAATTAATATTATATTATTACAAGAAAAAATAAATTACATGTTTTAACAAGAAAACGTACAAATATTTATAGCCTTTTAAATATGTATGTGTTTTTCAAAATTTTATTTGTATAAAAAATATATACAAGTTATAGTCTTGAATGTATATAAAAATACACGTGTATTAAAAATTTAAAAATTCTTAATACATGTGCACATTTTGCAAACTTAACATCCTAATACATTATAAAGCCGAGAATTTAATATTTATAATTTAATATCTATAATTTTAATTACAATTAAAATTGAGACATATTATAGTATCAAAAGAAAAATAATGTAATATATAAATTCGATTAGTATTTCGTACTTCTATGGTATGAACAAAAATATGAGAACAAATATAAATAAGGAATAAAGATAGTAAAAAAAAAAAAGATAGAATATAGAAAATATTGAAATTAGTGCCATCTTTAGAATGCCATAAATGAAATACATACAGATAGAAAAGAAGCATAAAGATAGGATAAGATAGACTAAGAATTCAGGATCAATACTATTTTTTGAATGTTTTTAAATCAATTTTTAAAAAGATATTTGAAAGATGGCGCTAATGATCAATTATTATCCTATCTTTATTCTTTTTTATTATTTTCAATTTTTTTGTATTTCATTCACTCTAAAAATAGCCTTGATTTCAATATTTTTAATCTATTTCTATCCTTATCTTATTACTTACTTTCTTGTCTATCTGCTTTGCAAAATTTATATTTTTTAATTAACTTTGTTTTCTAAAATGAAAATACAAAAATATATATAAAATATATTGTTATATAAAAGTAATATATATATATATATATTTATAATAGAATGAGTACTTATATTAAAAATTATTTTTCGATTTTCGATTTCATTCATTATACATATACACGTGTATTTAAATATACATATAGATAAAATCTCTATTATATATATATACCATAGAAATAAAAATCAAGCCAAATATCTTTGATTTGCAATTATTTACGAAATTATTATTTTAATCATTAACGAAATTTTTAATGTTTTTTAATTTACTTACTTTTTCTTAAAATATTCTTATTTTCTTTTTTTTTAAGACATTTTATTTTCTGTATTTGTATTTAAAATCATTGAATCCATATTTTCTGTCACATCCATTATTTCTTCTTTTATTTCTGTTTTTATATCATCAATGTTAATTTTTGGAACACGATTTTGAAATCTTTCATGTACTAAAAATAAAATGAAATTATACATGTATATATTATATACATGTTTATAAAAAAATGTAGAATTTTATATATATATATTAACATACTTTCTGATATTCTTAAAAGATCAAATATTTTTAAATTATGTGATTTATTATCACCACCAGCAGAAAACACAAAAGGTTCATCTGGATTTGATGCAAGACATAATAAACCACCGAGATTAGTTTTCTTTTCCCAAATAACACTTGGTTTTGTATTTTCAATAATATCCCATACTTTAATAATACCATCGTTTGCTGAAGTAACAAGAAGCCCAGGGCATGATGAACTAAGTGATAAACCTAAAATTATAATATAATAAATTTGATTATTATTTATATTCAATTCATATATAATTTCATCATTCATATTTGAATTTTACATATACCCGTAACTTCTTGAGTATGAGCTTCTATATTCCAAATTGGTTTATCTTTTCTAATATCTATGTATTGTATATATCCATTAGAAGTACTAATCTAAATCAAAAATAAATAAAATAATTTCTACCACCACTTATATTTATATTTATAATATAAATTTTACTTAAATTATAAAAATTAATAAATATTATATATATTTACTATGGAATAATTAGAATCAAAAGAATTCCATAATACTTTTTCTACTTCTCCTAATGCTTCCCATGATTTTATAATTGTTTCATACCTACAGTCAAATAATCTCACTATCCTAAACAAAAAATTAAACAAAACAAAAAATTATAAATATTTTAATATATATTTATATTAAGAAATTTTTGTTAAAAATAAATAAACATACTTATCTGCACAACCTGTTAATAATTGATGAGTTTCTATTGGATGCCATTTTAATGATTGAACTTTTTCATGAAAAGAAGTAAATTTATTAACAGGTTTTCCATTTTCTAAATCCCACAACAAAACTGATTGATCAACTGATCCACTAGCAAGAACATGTCTAAAAAAATATTTAAAAAATTGTCTCATTAATGAATATATAAAGTTCTAACTAGAATTTTTTTTAATTAATATTTGATACTAACGTATAATTTTCATTCCATGCTAAATCTAACACAGCATCTTTATGTCCAATATGTTTTCGATTTTTTTTTTTATTTGCTTTACAACCAAGTTTATAAATTGGTTCTAAACAATCTATCAAATCTAAATCCCATACTTCTATTATAGGAGTCATATTACCAATTGCACATAAATTACCTATAATAATTAATATAATATAATAAAAAAAATATATAAATGCAAAACTTATATTTTAAATATATTATATATACTTGGTTTTGAATCTGAAGGATCAAAATTAAGCCATTCTATACATAATGGAAATGATGGTAATAATATATCATGATGACAATAAAATGAATCTTCAGGTCCGTTATATACTAAAAAATATTTAAATTTATATGTTAAAAATCATTTATAAAAATTAATTTTTTTCATTAAAAAAGATAATATACAAACCAAATATTTCCAAAATGCTAGCATCTCCTTCAACATGTCCTACTAATATAAGATTATCATCACATTTAATAATATCATCTTCTTTTTCTGAATCATCATCTTCCTTTGTTATAAAGGGATCTTTACCATTTTTTTCAATAATTGCAATATTATTAATATTACAATGTATAGCTCCTGCTGCATTAATATCAATATTATAAAAAACTATAGAAATGATTATTAATATGATAAATAATATTTGTTATCTTACATTCTTCATCATATTTATCAAAATCATATTCATCTGTTTTGGATATATCAAGTTGAGAATCTATTTTATATTTTTCTTCTTTAATTTCATTATGTTCTTCATCTAAATCACTTTCAACATCTCTGAAAAAATATTTTTATTTTCAAATATAATTTCTTTTTTTAAAATTGTCACATTATAACTTTAATACTTACTGTAATTCAGATTGAGTTTGTTTTATGATTTTCTCTAATTCATTTGGAGTTAATTCAACCTAAAAATTGATAAATAAACTCAAATATTTAAATAAAATAATATAATAAATAATAATACTTAAATAAAAAAAATTTTATAAATTAGAAATATTTTAATATTCCATATTAAAACTGATTAACCTTTACAGGATTTGTTGATGCAACACCTTTTTTTACCCAAGCTATACACGGTACTATATTCATTTTAAAATTATATATATTTTAATATTAATATTTATAATACAAATATTTATTTTTTTTTTTATAGAAAAGTTAAATACTAAAGACAATAATACACGTGGTATGCATTCTACATTACACTGCACGTGGTAAAATATCGATACATTACATTCGACTTTACGAATTTACGAGATTGTATATTATCTCTGACTCTGAAGTTAGAAACTTATAGTATAGTACATTTGGATGAAAAGACACATTAATATTGTAAACAACTATTTAATTTTCATTGTTAAATAATAATTTATACTATTCTATACTGGCAAGTAAATTTAATTACATTTTAAATTATTATTATTTAATGTTAATTTGTATTTATATAAATGTATTATAACATATTATAATTTATTAACCTAAGATTAAGATTAAGATTTTAACATATTGTAATAATGATTAATATAATCATTATAAATATAAAATAATAATTTAGATATATAAATTTCAGTTTTATAAAATGAATAGTTCATCGGATCCTAGGCGTCCAGAACGAGAAATTCGTTATAAACCTAATGTGTCAAGCAATCAAGCACAACCTGGCGACAACTCAACTCCAGATTATATGAATATATTAGGAATGATATTTAGTATGTGTGGTTTAATGATGAGATTAAAATGGTGTGCATGGGTTGCATTATATTGTTCATGTATTAGTTTTGCTAATTCTAAAGTGAGTGATGATACTAAACAAATTCTTAGTAGTTTTATGTTATCAATATCAGCTGTTGTAATGTCATACTTACAAAATCCACAACCCATGACTCCACCATGGGCATCTGCAATATAATAAAGAAATTTTTAAATTTCTGTAAGTTTTTGTGATCATTAATTATTTAATAAATTTTTGGGGAACATATATATATATATATATATATATATACATACATATATATGTTATAAATTTAATACAATAGTTTTATCAATATGATTTTTTCAATATAACAACATTATTCAAACTAAATAAATTAAAATACAAGAAAAATAAAAAGAAAATTGAATCTATATTTTTATTTTTTAGAAATTTATATTTTAATACATTAAATGAAGTATTTTGTAATATATCACTTTTTCCTAATCATATTCTACAAATATGTAATTTATAATATTACTAATATATAATATTTATATGCTATATATAATATTTTCTATATATAAATATCTACTGTGTAAATCAAAAATTAAATGGGTCAAATATATTTTTTCTATTTTTTTTTTTTTTTTTTTTTTTTTTTTTTTTTTTTTTTTTACATAAATACAATGGTTTTAAAGTTTCAACTATTAAAAGACTTAATAAAAATTGTGTTTCATAATCTGTTATATAATCATATCTTTTTAATGGTTACATATTTTACATTCTATAAATTTATATATCTTCAGTCCCATTTTTGCATTCATTAAAAAATTAGTATAAAGTTTAATAGAAATTATTGTTCAATTTTATTGTGAAAAAAAATATAGAGATCAAATAAAAGAATTAGTATTTAAAACAAAATTATACCGATTACAAAAGATACATTAAATTATATTATTTTATTATACATTTGTTAATTCTATTAAAAGACTGTACAAAAATGCATAAAAACTTTCATACTAAATACGATTGACATTGAGTAGGCCAGTGCAGTTTCTATATAAATGTTCACGCTTTCTCGCTATGTTATAACAATTAACAGTTAACAAAAACAAGAATCGATATTTTTCAAAATTGATATCCCTTTTGAATGACAAGGCATCATTGATTTTTGTAAATCGTCATTCATATAACTCGCTGCCTTTTCGATAATTTCTTTATTTATTTTAATATCTTTAATATCTTTATTTATTAAATCTTTAATATACATTCTATATCTTATTTGTCCTTTGGTTTATTATTTAGTCAGACAGAAAAGTTTCTGAATCAGAAAATATTTCATTACATTAGAAAAATGACTGTACAAAAAGGAAAAAAAGTAGCATTTTTATCCTATAATAAGAATTAAATATTATATTATTCGAATTTGACTATCTACTTATTATTATTCGAGAAAAATCTTTTACATCTCGAGTCTCCGTTTATTCTTTTTTAAACTTCAATGAAAGATCATATAAAAAGAGGCTTCACAGATATATGGCCCATCAATTTTAGAATATTTTGCATTTTCATTTGTTCGAGGATTCAAGGATTTTAAACGATCACACTGAAGAAAATGATATTGGCACCTAATGGTTGATTTAAATCTATCTCGCCTCTTTTCTATGGTCCCCAGTTGGTCTAACATTTCGTAATTAAACACTACTTTCACCACGACCAACCAGCGTGATCGGATACACGTATTTCTTTCGTTTCGCGTTAAAGAAAGGCGAATTATGTTGTCCATGCGTAGGTGTTGGTGATAATCCACGTAGAAGAGGTAACGAAACATCACCGGGCATTCCTGTCGCATCAAATTTTTTCTTCCATTCTGCTCCTAAATCCGTAGCTGGCGCCATTAAACCTTTACACTCTGGAGAACTTCTCACACTGAGGAACACATCGTTGCTGCTATCACGTTGTCCAGAAGAACCCTGTGAAAAAAGGTACAATAATTTTTTCTCGCTCCAAAACTTTATAAAATTTCAAAATTTTATGTTACATGTTGAATAATTTATTACTTTAGCTTCGAAAAAATCCAAACTGGATCCGTTTGTCTCGTGTTCCTCCACAGAGAAACCTAATTGCACCCGGTTTGACGTTTGAGATGTCCTGGATGAATGGGAAGAGTTATGCGACGAGGAATTTTCGGACAGATCATCTCTACAGCAGGCAGCCGTACACACTCTTTGCTCTCTGCAATTTTTCCATTTTAAATGTCATTCAATGATTTATTTATTAATATGGAATAATAACGAATTTAAAGGGGGGAGAGGGGAATTCTAACTACCTTCTGACGATAACAGAATCTCGTCTTCTTGGTACTGGCGGCGGAAGACCAGCGGTTAAGCTTTTGGCGCTTTCATAACTCGCTTCGCTATTACCGCTACTCGTATTACTCCCATTGTTCCCTTCCCTCAGGAAATAATTCTTCGCCGAAAGCATGGCGAAGTGAAGGTTGTTCTTCAAGTCGTCCGCCGCCGTTGACAAGTTTCCCGAGATTTTTGGTGTACGTCTCATCGGGCGAGGTGGTGGTACCGGAGATGGTGGACTGCTCGACGCCTCCGACAATGTTTCCGGTGTGGCCAATGGCGCCGTTCGAGAACTGTCGTCCCAATCGCTTCGACGGTTCGATCTTCGCATTCAAAAAAAAAAATGATAATCTTTAACACAGTTCTTGAAATTAATCAGGGGAAAAAAAATTAAAGCTACAGCCAAAGAGCAACATTTTATGATCAAAGATGAATGGGAGGAGGAAATAAGATTTCTTTTTATCGGAATAAAGTGTTCCTCTTAAGCTGCGAATTTTTTGAAGATTTTTTGAAGATTTTCCGTTCTATAATCTGATGGAATGCAATGATTTATGTGCACGATTGCCGAAGCGGTGAAAACTGTGAGTCGTGAAAAATAAGCGAGTGTTAATGAGAGCGTGACATATGAGATACCTTGAAATATATGGAACGATATATTTTTGATTATTTATAGGCGCGAATGACTTGAGATCAGAAACGTAACGTTTCAAACATAATTAGACAGGTAATGGAAATTATTCAATGATTCTCGCAAAATACAATGCGAATCATATAAGATACAGAATATTCTCTTGACCGAGAAAGAGTTTATCAAAACGACCAATTTGATTGCAAGAAAATGTCAATCGTTATCTCGTCAATGGCTCTCTCTTCTTTGCTCTAAAAGTCCTCATCGTAAATCTAATTCGTTATATCGGCGTCGATTGAACGATCAAATCCTTCGTCACGGAACGGCAGTTCGTCGTCCAGTTCGTTAAAATTGTCTATTCTTACGATTTACTCTCGTCGGCCCTGGGCGTGTTGAGCAATTCGCTGGCCAAACTGACGTACTCCCATGGAATCCCTCTCGAGTCGACGCTCAGCTCCCGGCCAGCCTGAGGAAATTCCGAGGGGCTTTGGAGGGACGTGAAGCTCGTCTCTAGGCAGAGTTTGTACGGTGGCGTCCCAGCCATGTTGCTGGGATGCGATTTAACGGGGCTTGAGGACGAGAGCAACGCTCTCATCTCCTGCTCGATCTCCATCTCCTGGACCTCGGCGGTCTCCCGTGCCTCCGACGCCTCCGTCGATGATGCATGACCGGAAGCTAGCCTCTGCGGCTTCACCGGCCCCAGGGTCGTTACAACCTGACATATCCACACGCGTGTTTCCAATGTAATCGTTTCACCTTGCCTTCGTCGACAATTTCCGCATTACTTCGTGTTATGACAGTTAATGATGAAAACAATATCTTATTGTGATTCAAGAAGCAAATTTTATTTTATGATCGATGTTTGGTAAATATATATTGATATACATATATAAATGTGGCATCGTGATGCGTGATAATGACGGATGATTATGTTGTGTGTACATCGATCGAATTTTTCATTACGAAAAGAAGGAAAGATTGAATTTGATGCAAGATAAGATGATTAAAGATTCGCAATTGTTTTGTCCCTCTCGATTCAATTGTATAGTGTCTTCGTTATTGAAAAAATTAATTTATAATATGAATTTATTTTCTTTGCTGCATTATTTTCATTTTGAAATTTTAAATTTAATATTCAAGAAATTGGTGCAAATCAATGATCAATCGTAAGGAGATTATTTTATTAATTTAAGTAAGATTTTTGTTATTATTAATATATATATATATATATATATAAAAGATAATAATAGGAATAAATATATCTTTCATCGAAACGAAGAACTTAAACGTTAATTTCAAGATTGTTTCGAAAAAGATAAATTATTGAAATATTTTTACTCTGTATCTTTTTAAAAAAAAATTTCTAAGTTCGATCAATTATTCTTATTGGAAACAGAGTATAAATCTTTATATATCTTGAAAGTAATTTTGACGAAAAAGAATTTAGAATTTTGTAATCTAATGTTACATAAGAAAAATACTTAATTTTAATTAATTTAACATGAAAATTCTTAGAGAATATTCATGAAAAATTTTACGTGAATAAAAAAATTTAATAAATATTAATACGAAATTTCGCTTACATACATTCATAGAAATTATTTTTAGAAGCGAATTTTCTTTATTTATAATATAATTAAAATTTAAAAAAATGTAATTTTATGATAAAATATGAACGTGAATTGTTATTTTTTTGCTTGATGATGAAAAAACATTAGAATATTTAAATATTCACTACATATATTTAACATACAATTAATGATATTCCATATTAGAAATTAAAAATCAAATATACGATGATTATGATAAACTAAATGCATAGATGCACATGCATGAATTGAATGGCATTCAAGAATACGATATCGACTTTATCTACAAGTTTATCATTACGATTATAAATTTGTAGCTTATGTACGATGTCACGATATAAAACTATATGTCTAAGTGAACTTGCAATACGTACGTATCACATTTTTCGAAGCAAATTTCGAGCGAATATGTAAATGAACGATTATGAACGTGGTGTTCAAAAATTATGATCATAAATAATATAATATGTGATCACATGCTATAATATAATCAAAGACGATCTTGCAGATTGTCTGCAATCGTGATAATGAACGAGATAATTGTTAGCTGGAATTTTTTGGTCGCTGTAGAGGAGACCGTCGGTTTTGACGTCTTATAATGTAATAAATAACACAAAATATTTTAAAAATTGATGGATTACATCTAATCTACTGTTCTACCATAAATACTAAAATAAGCCTAATAATTATCTCTTACTTTAACACTCTGTACTAACT